GTCCTTGTGCTTCCCCTTGATCTTGTCCTTCAGTTTTCCAAATGGATTTCGGGACTTGTCCTTCATGGACAGGTCGAACATGCTGGCTGTCATGTTGTTTATCATAAACTGGATGTCGACCTCAATTTCTCCCCGCTCTTTTTCCTTCTTTCCTGGTTTGGATTTCAAGGCGTACCACTGCGTCTTTCTGCGGCCCTGGTCCCGGTGCAGCTCCCACAGGTCCACCTCAGCGCGGCCCAGGAACTTGTCGAAGCCAAGCAGTGCGCAGTGCAGCACGGTGAGCTGCAGAGTGGCGGCGGCCGCGAGCACGGCCTCGGAGGAGAGCAGCGGGGGCAGCTCGAAAGTGGCCTCCTCCCCCCACACCGGCGCACCCAGGCTGCGCTCGGACACCGAGGTGGCGTACTTCTCCTTGCCTACCTGGATCACCGCGTACGCATCGCTCGTGCCCCCGTGACCCTTGGCCCGGAGGCCCCGCGCCTGTAGCACGGTCACCTGCACGTGAGTTGGGGACCACACAGCCCCCAGGCCCTGGCCTGCAGAGGCTGCCCGCGACATGGTGACGACAACACCTCCCCAGCCGGCGCGGACTCTTAGGAGGAGACCTCACCGCAGCCTGCGTCCCGTCCCCCTTTATTAAATCTTTCCAAAGCGTTCACTTTAGATTTCACTGGAACAATAACTGTTTTTCATACTTTGTGTGATATTCATTAAATGATATTCATTAGTTTGTGTCATCAAAATAATAAATTCAAATGGCATAAGTATACTAGGAACTACCCAAGTGATTGTTGAGACAAAAAATCAAGTGACAGGAACAAAAATATGTAGTTATTTTGAGAGTCTCCTGGCCTTGAAAGTTCTGGCTAACATGTTGGCACATTCTTTTGAGGGCACTTGGAGAGCCTGTTAAATTAGGCTGTTAACTATAGTGATTTATTTTCTGTTCAGGTACCCAGTACTTTTGCTTTTGGTTCTCCATTTCAACCTTCTTCAAGGCTAATGGTACCAAAGAATTTCACCTCCTTCCCTTTTATTGTTCCCACACCTAATTTATCATTGTTTCATTGCTTTAAACCTCTCATGTGGACAGGGTTGACTGTTCATCATTAATAAATTAAGACATAACTCACTATTGTATGATAACTTAGAATTTTGTTGTAATTATTTTACTTACATTTCCTACAAATTCTATGAAGACAACTGGTAAATTTTGTTTAAAGGGTCAGATGATAAACAGTTTAGCCTTTGCAGGTCCCTATTGCTAATTCTTTTTTTGTTATCTCATACAAAAACGGGCCACTTACCACATCTAGGCCATAGTTTGCTGACTTCTGTTGTAAGACAAGGTAGAATAAGTAATATTGTGACTCTCTTATAGATACACAGTACATGTTTTTAGCAACTAACATTTACTTTCAAAAACTTAACACGTGACAGATACATTTAGACATGTTAAATGCTTTATATCCATTATCTGATTCAGTCCTCACAACTCTCTTTTACTATTAGTGCTATATTTATTCCTTTTAGAAATAAAAAATTGAGACTTGGAAAGATTAATTTCCCAACAATTAATAAGTGGTAAAATCAGAATACAAATCCAGAATGACTGACTTTGCAATTATTAAGCTCTACTACTTCTGAAAAACCTTTCAGATAATGTACCCAAGAAAATACACATAGCGGCCCAAAATAGAAGATTGATCTTCTGACACAGTGCTGATTTACAAAATATTCAGTAAAATCTACATTGTAAAGAGAGACTCAACAGCATCTTAACCCAATGAATGAATATCTAACAGCATTGAATTTGGCACTGAGTGAAATACCAGATCTTTAGTTTCACAAAGCTAACATTTAGAATTACTGCTTTGGTTTTTCAATGAGGCAGCATAAGAGAATCTTAATTATGGAATGCAGAAATGCAACAAATAAATTATCTTAAAAAATGTAATATTCAATTTGTGTCACTGAGCATTAAAATAATAAATCACACTATAAAATGGAAGGTCAGCAATGGAGCAGGTCAGGCATGCACTTAGGGGTAGACAAAGGTGACAGAAGGAAATATAAGCAAAGAGAAATGCACAATGTTCAGATGATATGCATCCTATACCGGAGAGGAATTCAAGGCAGGAAGGTAATGTTACAGAAGTCCACAATGAAGGGTAGCATACCGCAGTATCCAAGAATGCAATATTCATAAATTAATAATATAACTAACAAATGGATCCAAGAAGACTAATAGACCCTCCTGTTATCATAACCTCCCACTCTCTAAATAAAAGAGTTCCCATTTCTGCTTTGAGCATGTGTTGGAGACAAACAAGGACAAAGACCAGGAAAGGGGTTAACAAGTTAAACTTTGGAGAGGGAGAGGGCTACACAGAGGGAGTATAGTATAGCAAATGTGGCCTTCTTTGGAAGCCTGCTGTTATCCCATCCTTTCTTGGATTAGGGAAAAATGCAAGTGATTCTTTGCTTGCTCCAAGGAAGTAATGGGATTGAGGCTGCTGCCACAGTCTGTACAAAAGCTTAGGTCAAAAAGTTATCACCTGCATCATGATGATAATGATGATGATTACAATGATGCCAAAGACAACATACACATATAGTACTTATTATGTGCCAGGTACTCTTCAAAGAGTTTTGAGTGTATAAGCAAACCTCACAATCACCCTATGGGATGAGTAGTTTTAGAATCCCTATCTTTGATGAGGATGCTGCTGAAGCCCAGAATAAATGGTTAAATGGCTTGCCCAAATTCACACAGCTAATGAGATTGAAGCTGGAATTAAAACCCAGGGAGACTGGCTCCCCAGTCTACACACTCTTAACCACTCTTTTACTTAGTTGTGCCACCACAACAAGCGATTGACATCTGACTGTCTTTTAGCATATAAAGTGCTCTGAGCATTGAAGGCAAGATCAGGGTAAAGAACAGACAGTGAAATTGGAGACACAATCTTGGAAAACCTGGATGTGTTTAAGGAAGGAGCTTGAGTTTGAGAGAAAGATGAACTCAATGGAGCTGGAAATTATCACATTACCACACCAATTTGAACGTGTTAAACTAGCAAACTAAACCACTTTAAATGTTGAGACTACACTGAATATAACTCAGGTCATAAATTCTGGTCCTCTATAAGTAAGGACATCGATCTTTCAACAAATGAATACAAATAATTTTTAAATATTAAAGCAGTCATGCTATAAATGGATTTTTTAGCCACACTACTTAAAAGAAATGCCAAAATCGATTGTTATCAATATTACAGGTAAAATAAGAAATAATTTTACATTCTGAATATGTGTTTTCTCACTACTGACCTAACATTCCTTGGTAAAATTAGTATTCACTAAACAGATGCTAATTTGAAACAGGACAGCACTTTGTAATTTAGAATTTGCTATTGTAACTCATATAAAGGCAACAAAGTAGGAAAACATGTCAGATCTTGAAACATATTCTCAGGAAATTGCCTTTCTAGTTAATACGAATTTCTTTTGTACAGTTAAGTAAGCAAAACAACCAGAAATGTGAGAAAGAGCTGCTCTGGAATACCAACCTAATATTCTAGATCCAGCTCGTAAACCACAGTCCTGTTAGTCCACTCAGGCAGCACATAGGGAGAGGTCAAGTGCAAACACTGAGGACAAATTGCAAATAGTCAGAGGATCTGCCATCCCTGTATGACAGCAATAGTTTTAGAGCTCTATATGCAGAACTTTGGTGTGATGCCCATATGGTCTCAAGAAAAACCTGGACACAAAATAAAATTAAATTGTTTTAAAATAAAATTGTGTTTGCAAAAAAGAAAAAGAAAAATACAGAAACACACACACAATTTATGAAATATATACCCTGATATGAAAAATACTGATCAATCTATATTACATTTTGTATTTTATTAAACATAACATATATTTCACAAGAATTAGGAAAATATGTATATGTATGTACATATATTTACAAAATGCATGTTCCCAGAGAGGAAACTTCAAATTTTGAATGGCAAATAGTGTGGTTCAAACTGGCAATCCTAGAGTTTGGCAGTGTACTGTTGTCAACTGGGAAAATGAGTATAATCTGTGAGCCTAGATTTCTATAATCTAAATCAACCACTAATTTCATTAAGGCCTACGGACCTTTGAACTTTGAAACTTCCTTCTTGCCACTGCAAATAATCTGGTTCTTCTTCTTCAGAAAAAACAGAACAACTCCCTATCAACATTCATATTTAAAACATGAAGGCAAGAACTATTTGGATTCCTCAGATTTCTGGTTCTGATTCTAGTTCATATTGAGGCCCAGCTAGACTTCATTTACTTAAGTTCCAACAGATAATCCGTATTTCTTATTACAAATTTTTCTTCATTTAAGCAAATTTTAGTTTCTTGCAATCAAAAGTGCTTGACCAAAACAAATAGCAGGCTTTTATTGGAAATCTAAAGGCCTGGAATATGTAAGCAAACCAATTCTCAAACAGAACAAGGGTTTTTTAAAAGTCCACTGAAATATTAAACTTCCTAATCAATGCTATTCATGAGTATCTTCTATTTTGAATCATAAATGTTGCAACAAAATGCATTCTGAGAAAATACATGCCATTCATGTAGAAATAATCATTTTCAATACTATAATGCCTGTAAAATTTTAAAAATGCATTTAACTACATTTTCAGTGACAGTGGCTTTCAAGCCTATTTTAGGCAACAGAACATTTTCTTCTAATGATCTTAGGTTTATGCCCAATGCAAAAAATAGATAAGAAATATCTGCCGTGTCCATGTACGTATGTAGGAGCCTGCAGGTAGAAAACCCTGTCTGATGACCAGCCTCTTCCCCTGCTGGAGACTCCTTGAGGAGTCATTGTGGATCCTTTGTGACCTATATGAATCAGAGCTTGAAAACCACTGTGTCTAAAAAGAAAAATACAGGCACTATTCTATACTTTAATGTCACAACTAAGATACCACATCAATCACTTATCTATTTACCTGTGGGCTTTAAAACTTTTTCCATCAACATAAATATCAGTATCTGGACAACAACATTTCACATAAAGCTTCAATAAATCTTCTCCTAATTCAGAGGCAGGTTCCAAGTCATAATTATCTTTAAAAGAGAAAAATAAGACTAATAATAAAATATAAACATCACAAAATTTTGTTTTCTAATATTAGGAAGAGGTTTTTCTACATAATTATCTCAATGAGCTGGAATATTTAAGTGGCAAGTTCAAAATTTTAAAAATTGTAATTCATCCACATTTTCTGCTTTGAAATATGCATTTCCACTTACACTTAAATATGGACTGGTCGTTTTTTTCTTTTGTACTGGGGATTGAACTCTGGACCTAGCATTTTCGAGACAGGCGGCGGCACCATTGAGCTGAATCCCCGGCCCCGGACTGGTCTTTAAATATAGATACACACTTAAGCATAGTATGCCAAATTATATACCAACAATAAATTTATTTTATGAACATCTAAACTAGAAAAATTTCCAATTTTGATACTCTTCCATTATTTAATTCCTTCCTATTCTTTACACTATACTTTAGATGTTGAATGTCCCCCAAAGGTGCATGTGGTAAAGGCTTGGTCCTCAGGCTGGTGCTAGTGGAGGTGCTGGAGACCTTTAGGAGGTACAGCCAAGTGGGAGGTCCCTGGAAGCATGCCCTGGAAGGGAATGGTGGCACCCTGGATTCTTCTCTCACTTCCTTGCCATGCAGTGAGCAATTTGTTCCACCAGCCATGCCTATTCATTCCATCTTCCATGCCCTCTCAAGGTCGAAAATAATGGTTCTCCTTGATCTTGGACTGAAACCTCTAAAACTGTGAGCCAAGGGCCAGGGATTTAGCTCAGTGGCACCGTGCCTGCCTTGCAAGTGCAAGGTCCTGAGTTTGATACCCAGTACCAAAAAAAACCAAAACAAAACTGTGAGCCAAAATAAGCCTTTCCTCTTCATAAATTATCTCAGGTATTTCATTATAATGAAGAAAAACTAGCTATTACACTCTATCTACTTCACGAACATATGGCTAGAATGATGTGTAAACTGTTAAAAATTCAACTAAAATCAATGTGTATTATTAGAGGACTAATTGTGATGTTAGTACTGCACACAGCATGAAGAGGTATAAAAAAATAAGTATTTTTAAAAACTATCTGTTCCTCAAAAAATTTACTATTTTGGGAGTAGGAAGTGAAATGTGATTATATGTACATTAAAAGGAAAAATACTACATTTTATATCAAAGTTCATAGATAGGACATGGATCATTATACATTACAGTGTATTATATTATCATTGTAAACTACATTGTAAAATTGGCACTACACATTGCTGTTTGGAGGCAGGTTGTCAGGAAAGGACACCATTATTTTTTGGAGGCAAGAAATTCAGGCTGTCCTTGAACTCACTACATAGCCCAGGTTGGCCTTGAATTTGTGGGGATCCTACAGTTTCAGCCTCCCAAGTGAGATTACAGGTATGTGCCACTATGCCTGGCTTATACCTAAAGTTGACCTGAAACTGTCTCCATCCTTTGAGTTCCCACATACTGAACTGCAACTTAACTTAGTAAGCAAGCCAATACCAAACTTAGGAGTACATATTTTTGATAACAGCAAGATCTCAACCAATCACAACTAGCTAAACTTTACCCAGTCACAGGCAGCCAAATGATCAGACCATGTGCAAATACAGGAAAGGCCAACTTATAACAAATCAAGTTATTCCTGTATTTTACTTTCATTTTATGTTCGTAAATAGCCACTGCCCAGTTGATAAAGTGGAACTTTCTGAACCTTTTTTGAAACTGAATGCTGCCTGATTCATGAACTGTTCCTTGTTCAAACAAATTCAGTTAAATTTACTTTGTCTAAAGATTTCCTTTTAATAAATATATATCATACAGTGCCAGCCCAGAAACTTTGGTTAGTACATTTGCCAAGGATTAGTCAGTGCTGACAGTCTCACTAACCAAATCCATTAGCCTGGAATACAAACTAAAACACCAAGCTGGCTCTACCACCAAAATCTAAGCATTACTCAACACCTCCACTTTTATGTCCTCATCTCTCAACTAGATTTCTGCAATAACCTGAACAGGTCTCCCAATATTGACCCCCACAGTCTATTTTTAACAAAACATCCAGAGGTATCTTTTTACACTTGATCTTAGCCAAAAGGCTGAGAAGCGATCAGAGGTATCTTTTTAAAATGCAATTCAGAACATGGTCCATCCTAGTTCATAATTGTCCTAAGGCTAACCGCATTCTTTTAAAATAAAAACCAGAGTCTTTAGCAATGTCATACAAGATCCTACATCATCTGGCTCCCCATTATCTCTGACTTCAATATGTACTACTTTGCTGATTTCTACACTTAATTCTTTCTCATTCCTCTAACACGACAGGTACAGTCCCATCTTAGGACTTTGCTTCTGCCTAGAACATTCTTCTCTAAGTTATCCAAATGACTAATTCTCCCACCTCTTTTAAACCATCACTTAACCATCATCACCTTTTCAGAGGCTGAACCTAACTACCCTATCTGAAATTACAACTCTTTCACTGCTCTTTACAACCCTCTTTGTCTGTCTTTTTTTCCCCTATGTCAACTTCCTAACTTCTTTACCATGTTTACTGTCCATTCCTTACCCTATTCTAATTTCTCCAACCAGAATATAAGGTTCAAAAAGGTGGGAAATTCATTTCAGTTTCTGAGATAGACAGTAGATTCTCAATACATATTTGATGATTTAGCTAATATATCAGATATTACATGTAAAACTCCAACCAGAATTACGCATAGGAAAGGGACTATCCTACTACTTCTACAATGTCTTAGAAGATTTAATTCATATTTCTAGAGAAAAGCTATAACTTTTTCAAAAGAAAACAAAGTTAATGCATTCAAATAGCCTACTGAACATGAATACATGACAGTGAGGTGTAGTTTTATACATTTATGTGTACTATGTAGTTAGGCCTACTGCGCTGGTAACTGTCAACTTGATTGGCTTGGGAGCTGCTGGGAGTACGAGTAAAGCACACTACTGGCTGTATTCAGGTGTGTCATAGAGACATGATCTTGAGTACTGTATCTGGCCCCTCACCCTTTCTCTCTAGTGCTGTTCATGTTCTGTGCTGCCTTGAACTAAGCAGCTGTATTCTACTGGCCCCTTTTGGTATGATATTCCTGCCATGGAGTCAGTTGACTCTGGACTGAAAACCTTTGAAACTGTGAGCCAAATTAAATCTCTTCTAAGTTGTGGATGTCAAGTATTGTACCCTAGTGATGAAAAGCTAATACACTTAGGATCTGCATTTAACATTTACAGACTTTTTTGTCATTACTCTCTAAACAGTGCAGTTAAACAACTAATTACATAGCATTTACAGTGTATTAGATATAAGTAATCTAGAGATATTTTAAAGTATATAGAAGGATGTGTATAGGTGACATGCCAATATTACACTATTTTTAGAAGAGACTTGAGCATCAGAACATTGGTATCCTGGGGAGTAGGGATGTCCTGGAACCACTCCTCTGTGAATAAGGACAGAAGACTATGTTAACAGCAATGCTTTCTTCACTCTCTTAGAAGCATCCCAATATAAGCCAGGCATGGTGGTGCACATCTGTAATCCCAGCTATTTGGGAGACTGAGCTAAAAGGATCACAAGCCTGAGGCTGGCCGGGGCAACTTAGTGAGAACCTATTTCAAAATAAAATTTTAAAAGGGTTGGGGATGTGACGCCATAGCACAGCACTTGCCTAGCACGCACCTGAGTCCCTGGCTTCAATCCCCAGTACTACAAAAAAGGTGAAACAGCGGCCCAGCTTGGAAAAAAATACAAGGTCAACCTTCCAATAAGGCTTTTCATGACATGGCTTCTGCTTACATCTCCAGGGTTAATCTGCTACTGTGACCATTCCTGTCCCCAATCCCATCCTGCTCCTATAATAAACCATTTCTAGTTTTCCAAATAGGCTGTATGTCTGGCTTTATCTGTTTCTAGGCATATAGTCATGTTTACTTTGGCTGGAATACTCCTCCCTTAATCTATTTTTTCCTGGATAACTTGTTTTTTCTTTAGGATTCAACTAAGAAGTTATCCCCTCTATGTAGCTCAGGTTACATGTGCCCTATTTGTATATGACCCACCTAACTGTATCTCCAACTAGACTGCAAGACAAGTACACTACTTCAAAACCTAGCACAAAGTAGACAATCAAAAGATGTAATGAAGCTAGGGATTGTGGCTCAAACTTTGGGAAACTGAGGCAGAAGGATTGCCATGAATTCAAGGCCAGCCTGGGCTACATAGTGAATTCACAGCAGTCTGAACTACATAGTGAAACCCTGTCTCAAAAAAACAAAAAAAGATGAATGACTATAATGATATTCCAGGAATACAGAAGAACAAGTACAAAGACATAGAGATGCCAAAACATCGTTCTTTGGGGAAAAAATCAATTAATTCACTAGGACTGCAGCTGACAGGGCATGAGGGAGTTATGGAGAAAGGAGGCAGCAAAGGTCAAGGTAGGAGCCAATTCATAAAATCCTGATGCCATGGAAAGGAATTTGAGATTTAAATTAAGGATATGAGAGATCACCAAATAATTTTAACAAGGTGAATGTCACGACCAGACTTGTAATTCACATTATTCTATATAATACAAATGGAGGCTGGCATAACTAGGGACTTAGAGACTATCTGGGTTACAAATTCTTAAGAAAAATTCCAAAAACCTAAAATAAAGAAATGACAGGAGAATAAAGAAAAAATATTTAGAATATCTAGGAGATACATTGGCACTGCTTACAGAATTTAGACTTTCTTGAGCCTGATTTTCCAAACTTTTTCAAATTTCTCCTATAAGCCACTTCCAAAGGCTTCTGAACCACATGGTCAGGTACAGTGAAAACAGTGGCCCCAGTCCTGGTACCACTTTTCTATATTGGGCCACTCGGTATGACTAGAACAAAACACCAGACACCCACAACTTAGAGGATGACTTTTTTTGGATCACAATTTCAAAGGCTTCAGTCCATGGTTTGCTGGCTCTGAGACAGAAAGATCATGGCTGAGGGGCATAGAAAAGAAACATGTTCACCTCAAGGCAGCCAGAAGCAGAGTGAGAGCCAGAGCAAGAGCTACACCTCCTGAGGCGCACTTCCAGTGACCTACTTCCTTCTACCAGGCCTATCACCTAACAGCACTTTTAGCTATGAATTCATCAATGGATTAATCCACTGATGAATATAGCAGCCATGATCCAGTCACCTTCCAAAAGCCCCACTTCTGAACAAATGCAACTTTTAATGGACATGTTTGATCAAACCATAACATCTTTAAAGTCACGACTGGCATTTATATCTTCACCCGCCTTTTTACCCGCTAAGGCTGACAGGCAGCTTAAAGTTCCCTAATTTTTTATTTTGTTTTATGAGACGTGGTCTCACTATGTAGTTCAGGGTGGCCTTGAACTCACTATATACCCCAGGCTGGCCTCAAACTCATGGTGATTCTGTCTCTGCACCCTTGGTGCTGGATTACAGGTGTACACCTCCACACTGGATTAGTTTCTTAATTTTGGATCTTTTGTGGTGCAATTTCACTTCACTGGTCGGTAACATCAGGCCCTTGGTGCATTGTCTATGGAGTTTGACAACTGAAAACTGGCACTAAGACGCTTTATGAGTAATAACGGGTCTTTTCTCTGATCCAAAGACCTCAGGCTTCTTATCAGAATCAATCTCTCTCTGTTTCTCTCTCTCTCAAATTAATGTTCTCTTTTTACCAATTCACAGTAACTCCAAAGATGCGACCCTTCTGATGCCTACTTCCACAAGCAAATTTAAGGACCTTTGAAAGGTAAAATGCTGTATGCATTCTATAATGCAGGCAAAACAAAGCTACCATTTTGATTAGGTTACTATCTTTTTTAAATGTGTCACAACAAAGATTTTGTGTAATAATTTTTGTGTTGCACAGTATTTTTAAAGGAATGCATACATTGTGTTATAATTGACTACGATCTGCTAAAATGTATGGTATAGAATAAGAGCAATGACATGTACAGTAGAGGCCTAAGCAGTAAAAAAAAAAAGGAGTGTGAATTATATGTAGATTAAGTCATAATAACTCTTATCTCCAATTACTTGCTAGTATATTCCTTTCTCTATGCTTATTGAAATCAGTAGCTCAGTTTTTGAAGTATGTTTTCTTTATATCAGAATGAAATTATTTTCATGATTATAAAATTTCATAAAATCCACAAAAATACTTCACCATTGGAAATTAAACTGTTGTCTTTATCACTGACATCCTCTGGAATCTCATGCTTCTGAAGAGAAAAATCAGATGGATTTATATACTTCTGAAAATTGAAATCAAGTTTCTTTTGTGGTATCATGCTTTCCACTGTCATTTTATTAAGAATTTCCTCTTCATTGTTTATGTTTCTGTTTGATGAATATACAATCCTAAAAGACAAAATATGAACTATTAATTAAAATAAAGATTCTTAAAGAAAAAGAAAGCTAGTTTCCCCAATGTCCTCTTTTCATATGTAACATATATTATACATATAAAATATAATTCATATATAAAACATTATTTCAAAACCTTTTAAGTCTGAACTAACTATAGGAAAGTCAAATGAAAACTGTATAAACCTTGAAAAGCAGTGTATAACTTTTTAAAAAATATCAAAAGTAATATATAATGTCAAAAAATCAGATAACCAAAATGACAAGGTCAATTTCCAGAATGACACAAATTTCCAAACCTGCCTCAGGAAGAAGTAGAATATCTGAGTAGATCTTTAACAAATATTAAATTTAATACAAACTTCACACACACACACACACACACACACACACACACACACACACAGACACCAGACGGTTTCACTGGTAAGTTCTAACAAATTTAAATTAACACCAATCCTTCACAAACTTTTCCAAAAAAGTAGAAGAGGTAGGGACATTTTCAAGTTCATTTTTTAATGCCTGTATTAAGGGAACAAATGCATACAAAGACCTTACTAGAAAAGCAAAAACAGATCAATATTCTTTATTAATACAAATGAAACAATCCTCAACAAAATAATAGTAAACTGAACTTAGCCCACTGGAGAGAGAGGTTCTGGGTCGCCAGGAGCCCTGCTCCATCCAGCCCAGGCCAAGCACACCGGAGGGGACCAGCCAGAAGGTGAGGACCCCTCGCCACTGGCCACGCCCACTGCAGCAATCCGCTTAGCCACCCAGGCGCCTGCAGGACACCCC